ATATATATATATATATATGATGCTAAAATTTTAGGGCAGGGTTCATGAGAAACTAGTCCATAAGAAAAAATTATTCCATACGGACGATCTCCACCCTCGATCAACGCAAAAATATATTTTGGTGGGCCCCCCTTTTAATTTTTTTTTTTAATTTGATCACGGTGATTGATGGTGGATATCAGACATCGCATGCATTTTTGCATGCGGTTTCCGTATTCCCGTCCATAAGAAGAAAAAATTTGAACTCTTTTATGTCTTTAAGGGTCTGGTTGGCGCAACGTTTTCACTACTGCGCGGCATCGGAACAATGATTTCTCTCGTTTGGGGCGGCGTTGGAAGAACAGCGTCCCGTGATTTCGATCGAAAGTCGAACGCTTATACGAGCCCGCTTCCCAGCTTTCGAACGCGTCATTTTACCCCGTTGCCCTAGCCGATCTCTCATTCCTCCTCTTCACCGACCACGCTACCAAGCTTCCCGATCGCGTTCGTCTTTCTCCGACTGCCTTCCGCTTCTCCCTATCTCTCCTTTCATCCTCTTTGCCGACCACTCGACCGAGCTTCCCGATCGCGTTCATATTTCTGCGACTGCCTTCCTCTTCTCTGGATCGCGTTCCTCTTCCCCGATCTCTCCCCTTTCCTCCTCTTCGCCTACTGCTTCCGATCTTCATTGCAGAAGTCGCAGACGTCGGATAAGGTGAGAAATCACTGGCATTGTTTCGTTTTTCTCCGATGGCATTGTTTGGTGTATCTCCAAAATTTTTTGTTTTAAAGTTTGATTGATTCTTTAGAAGCATGAAACTTGTTGTAAAAATTTGTGAACATTTGGTGATGAAAAACATGTGAGGAAGTTTTTTTCTATGGAACATGTAAAACTTGTGAAAGTGATGATTTCAAAAAGTTGTAAAAATTTGGTCTCATCCTTTTGAAGCATGATACATGTCAACCTTGTTAAGGAGAATATTTCAAAAAGTTGTAAAAATGAAGATGAAAAACATGTGAGGTGAAACATATTGATGCCTATGAAACTTTATTTTTTCACTCTTTTTTATTTAGAGAAAGATTTTCTTTAAAAAAATAATGTCAAGAACACGAAGGGTAATTTTCAACGGGCAGAGTAATGATTTATTTGTTTTTATATTTTGATTTACTCCATATTTGCAATACTAACTAATGTTGGATATATATGTTTGTACGCACATGAACAATTTTATCTAAAATTTGATTAAGAAGGTCTGAGTTTTCTTGTTTGTATGTTTGATTTGAGTTTTGGTTTGTCGCTTGATGAGATTGTTTGTTTTTGTTGTGAAATTTGAAAGGTTCATATTG